GGGGGGGGGGGGGCTGCAGCCCCCCAGCCCCACCCTCCCGTACGCCTATGTCTAAACATTGAACTAAGCCGATTAAACATGCAAAATCAATATTGCGGTGCCCGTGCCAACTTTGGCACCGCATTATATTCTGCCTGTGAGTTTGTTTGTTAGTTTGTTCGCATCAATACGTTTCCTTAATCGCCTAGTAAAAATTCCTTGCACGTGATCGAAATTTATTGGACTCTCAGGATCGACTGTTTGCTGGGCTTTATCTCTGGTTTTATGCGCCAAACAAGGACAAAAATACCACTGTTCGAATCAGCGTAAACCTTTGTATTTATGAATGGAAATTGATTTCAAAATTGATTTCTATTTCAGCGATTGATTCATGGCTTTTGAAAGACAAGCCGCTCAAAATAATCCTTTCATGTTTTCTGAATTCCTTTTTTCGAGGAAAATTCTCTTTCCAATTAATCTCGGACTCTGCCTTATCTCTGGTTTTATGCGCCCGATAAGGACAAAAATACCACCGTTCGATTCAGCGTAAGAAATTGTACTTACGGATGTCAAATGTATTACTAAACAACAGTATTTAGCGATTCATGGGCTTTGAAAGTCAAGCGAAATTGTATTGTTGACAAGTCGCTTAAAATTATTAAACTAATTAAAAATGCAGCACGTTTGAGTAAACAACTTCGGTATCGTTGGTTTTCTCTTTTCGGCCGTCTACCAGTATATTCGTCTCACTTTTCTCTTCATTTTGATAGTATTTTGAGCCCAAAAATTTTTATTTTGAAGGCTTTAAAACGCAGTTTTGATCCTAACGTACGAACCAACTGGTAGCCTGAGTGACCAACTGGCGGCCGACAGGAGAATGTTAGAATGTAGGCAATGTAGCGTGCTAAATTACCTAAATATAACTTTACTTGTACATGTAGGCGGAAACGCCGGAAATTTTATTTGTAGGCGGGCACCGCATTTAGTACTGTGTCTGGTTTAGATATACTAGTCTTAAACGAAACTCGGCTGGATGAAACAATTTATAGTCATTCCGAAATATCAATTGATAAATATAGTTTAATTATAGGAACGATCGATCACGATACGGAGGCGGCGTACCTCTGTCTAGCCTATATCCGTAATTCAATTTAGCTACTGCTAGTTTTAATATCAGAAACAATCTCCATGACGAAGCCCTTGAGTTCCTGTGTGCATGTTGAGATCAGAAAACCTAGAGTTAAACTATTCCTAATCTAAACGTGGTACAGACCTCCTATTAAAGAGGGTCTAGAGTCTGAAAATCAGTAACCGGTAAAAATTTGGGTATTTTAACGGTAAAGCTTATGAAAAGTGTTCTGAAACGATAAACAGTGTTTTTCTCATCACATCTAAAAGTAGAGCAAAAACCTTTATAAGGGACCGTTCATTTTTTACCTGGGAGGGTGGGCTGGTGGAAATGGCTATGCCTTCATAAAACTTTAGCATGGCCCACCCCCTTTAACTCAATTATTTCCAGTGGCCCACCCCCAAAGAATGATTTATTTCAAAGTGACCCACCCCCATAAATAAAATGGAAAAATATGTGTTACTATAATAGAGACATGTTCAACATATACACTGTATGTGATAAATGTTGTCTGAGTCTTATATATTAAGCTCAATTAAAACAGGCGGGAACAAAAGAGACAAAACATTGAAAGTGTCCGCGTTATAAATGAAAATGCAATTTCACGAGAAATGCAGTCGAACCGTTCATAGCAGGTCCGTAATGTAGGAAGCTCATTTTTATTGGGGGGGGGGGGCTCAGTGCTGTAGAACTAAATTTACCAGAGGGGGGGCTCTCTTGACGAGCGTGAAGCCGTGAA